AGGGAGTAGCTCAGTGGAAATGCACTTTCCTAGCATGCACAAGGCCCTGGATTTAATCACCAGAACCACAAATAAAAACTAAAGTTGTACTGTATGATTTCAATGTGGCCAGTGAGGCCTAAGTTCATTTTTTAGAGTTGCAGAATTCAGAAATGTTTTCAGGCTGAAAAGGCACATACCAAATACTCAGTGCCATGAATGAAAACAGACTCCCAAAAAGGTCCACCACTGTAAAATTTTAGAACATAGAAACAAACAAGGAGAAAGAAAATCAACACACAGAGATCACACACAACACACAAGAAGTCATATATTGTATGAAAATGGCTTCAGATTTCTCAAAAGTGGTATAGATGCTAGAAAGCAGTATTAGGAAATTCTAAGAAAACATACTTTCCCACCTGTTACTCTTTACCTAACCAGAGAATCAAACAAGTATAAAAGTAAACTAAAGCCATTTTAAAACACAAATAAATCAAGAAAGAAGACAACAATGGTCACTGGAAAATGGAGATCCAATACAGGAGAAAGTGAAGGGAATCCCAGGATAATGGTTGTGTACACTAGAAGGCAATCAGTCCAGAAAGGAAGTGAAAGAGCTATTACAAAGACTTCTCCTGGAAGATAAAACAGCTAACAATACTTGATGCCAGTACTGAGACATCTAATGATATGCAGACTTAGTGATAAATACAGAGAAAACTAAAGGGGGGAGGGGGAAGAGGACAATAAACTTCAAACACATCACCCCAGCTGAAAACTGTTAATCAGCTCTTTAGTCCTCATACACTTAAGCACAAGCACACCATCAAGAATTACCAGACATCCAAGAAAGGGCTTTATCAAAAAAGGTAGAGCTCAAAAATACAAAAAATGGGAGGGAGCTATAAAGGAGAAAATACAACTGGAAAACAGACTATGCTGATAAACAAAAACTTGAAAGAAGAGAACCCACCAACATTTCTACATACTAGACAGCTAAGGATGGGGTGGGAGCTGGGAGGCAGCCACAGGAGATTGTACTGCACAGAAAAAGGATCTTTTATAAGAATATTGAGTAATCAATAGTAACATAATATTAACTATTGGAAGGAAGGAGTACTAGTAACAAGGGTGACCAGATAGGTAAATCTTCATTTTCTAACTAAGAAGTTAATGAACGAGACGAACCTGGGCTACATAGTGAGTTCAAGGATAGCCTGAACTACAAAGTGAGACCCTGTCTCAAAAAAATGAAACAAGTTAATGAAGCCCAAAACAAAACAAGGACTTATTTTATTTAACGAACACTTATTTAGGGCATAATGAATTAGACAAAGCTCTAAGGGTATTTCAAATTAATTTAATTCTAACAACTTTATGACACATACTTTTATTCCCAATTTTTAAAATGAGAAAACTGAAGCACAGAAGGGTTAAACAGCCCAAAGTTAATAAAACTAGCAGATGACAGAGGAAAGATCAAACCTAAACAATCTAATCCAGAGTCTGTGCTCCTAACCATCAAGCTGCGTTGCAGATCTCGGTGCAACTCAAGCATGTTAAAGTAGAAGGAAGTATCACAATAATCATCTGAAAGAGGTGAAAGCACTTCCAAGAAAGAAAATCTAGGAAAGAGGGCAGCTTATATATTCATTTAGTTATTTAGAATAACCATGTAAACTATTAACGCTTTAAATTGTATGTACATTTCAAATAAAAAATAAAAAACTTTAAAACTTACAATTTGGTATTTTATAGTTAAAAATGTTCTAACTGATCCTACCACCCTTGGAAGTAGGCAAAAGGAATATTACTCCTATTTTACATGTTTAAAGTATCCAATCCTCTTTGATAAATATTTGAGGACCTACTATAAAACAGGCACTGTATTTAGAAGATATCTAGTCATCAATTTGCCTCAAGGAACACTGAAGAGCTTAGGAAGTCTTTTCAATCCACTGCATAAATTATACAATCCATCGATCCCCAGTACCAAAAAAAAAAAAAAAAATTACATGATCCTGCATCTCTAACAGCAGTGTTTAGATGAAAAACAACATACACTTTACCCGGAGACAGGAAAAACAGAGAAAGGTCTGCAGGTTAATTTGTTAAAAAAATATTTAGTCCCTCTCCTTCAAGAATTCCTAGTCTTGTGGGAAAGACTACTAAACATAATTATAATCAAATATAATGTTATTAAGCACTGCTAAAGCAGAGGAACATTAAGAAGGGATAGGAAATATCCCCTAGGGAAAGAAAATCCTGTGGAGGAAACATCTGAGCTGAGTCTTGAAGGATGAACAGAAGTTTGATAATTTCACATTAAAGGCTGTACTAACAATCACAAAAAAAAATACTGGTTTTTTGGAGTAAAATAACTAATATTCCCATTCTTATAAAGGTAAGTTCATATTAAAGACTAAAACATCAAGCCATTTTAATAAGAATGCTTTTCTGAAAGATAAACAACCTTAATGCCTTGAGGCACATTTCTAAGCTTTACAGTCTACAATAGCCAAGTGAAAACTTTTCATGTCTGATAAACATTATAAAACCTAAAGTGATAAACATCATCACGAAAGATGATTAAATAACCACCTCATTCATTCTACCACCAAAAATTTATAGTTATTAACACTGAAATGATAATGTACCCATTCTCCAGTAAGAGACTAATGGTGACCAAGCCTAGAAGCTGTCAAGTGACACAGAAGCTAATAAAGAAAAGCAAAAATAATTAGGTATTTAGAGATTATATCACTTTTTTCTCGGGTCTTCTCCCAAGGGCAACTTTTTTTAAATATATATTTTTCAAAATATATACATGTTAGTGATCCTTTCTGTCCTTTTAGGGGTGAAATATTTTGATTTTAAAGAATCTGAAGGATACCATTCAAACAAAAATTTTCTGGTTTTGATTATTCAACTTAATGTCAACGAAGGTTCCAATTCATAAGTTCAAAACAAGTACATTCTGAAGGCAAGTTACTTTCGATCAGTATTTGATCATATTTCTTGTCTCTTTCTAGAATTTCAAACCTTTCTACATAATTTGCCCCTAATTATTCTTTAGCTCAATTACTACCTGGAAAATAATTTTGTGCTAATATCTTTAACTAGGAATCCATCCCTACAGTTAAAAACCCTAGACTTTTAACTATGAAACAGCTAAGTTTGGAAAACCCTACCACGCCCTCTATACCAATAGAAGGAAAAGAAGAAAAAGGTGTTATCAGGAGACCACAAATGATAATTAACAATATCAAAAAAGGTTTTCATTCAATGGGTAGGTTTCACTTGTCACTTATCTTTTATTTCTCTAAATTTAGCACCTATATACTTGTTTTTATACAGGGTTCACTCAGATCACAACCTTTATTTAGAAAACATGAAAAACTAGAGTAATTCCTTAAAATTACAGGTAAGTATCAGATGTTAAAAGTCAAACAATAATTATAATGGAATTATTAAGGAAGCTACCTCTTAGAAGTCTATCTTTAAAAGTACAGTTTCGTAAAAACATATAGCATACATTTGGCTAGTAATAAGATTTTAATTATATGCCCATTGGAAAAATAATAAAAAACTTGAAGGTAAAAATTTAACTTGTTTCAATTAACCATGTCTTTTCATTTTACCTTTAAAAAAAAACATGGAAACTTCACTAAAACATTTAGCCTTTATTTTCTTTTTCTAAAACTAAAATTATTTTCCAGTCAACTCAGCTTTTCCAAAGCAAAACCCACAAATAGATGTATAGAATATAAATGCTTCCACTGGTGTGATTGAAGTTCAAGCCCCAAAATCTTCAACTAATACTAAAATAATTAAATATCTCACATGCTTACTCAAAATTCCAGTGAAAATGAATAGACTTTTCATTAACTTCAATATTTTTATCAAGGTTAGCCAGACTAGCCGATTTATGAAAAGAATATTCCTTTAAAAAAATAAATCAACACGGACTGGATTTAGCTCAGTGGTTTTGCCGCCTGGCGCAAGGACCTGAGTTCGATCCCCGGTACCAAAAAAATAAATAAATACAAAATAAAAAAAAATAATAAATCAACTAAGTCCTAAAGCTATGTAGAAACAAAATTTCACAACTTTTCTAGCCAGTCAGCTTCAAAGATACAATTTGAGTAAGTGTGATTAGTGCATCATTTCCAATCTGAAAAAAAAACGCTGGTGTAATAATGTATTTCAGGCTATAAGGGTTTTTGGCGGGAGGAGAGGGAACAGGTGGAGTTGATTAGCAGACAATCTTATTTTCATGCCTGTATAAATTCAACACTCCAAGGCTTTCTTTACTCTTTAAAATGGCTACCACCTTGATGTACTATGCAAAAGAAAAAACATACAGCATACTACTATCAAAGACAAATCTAGTTATTTTGACAGTGTATGACTGATTCCTCACCACCCAAAATGTTTTAAAGAGTCCCATTCATTTTTGGTTCAGATAAAGTAAACATTAAATTAAGTCTGTAAAAGCCAAAGTACACTGTAAGGTCAACCTATAAGAGCCCAGATTAGGTCATCTTTCCTACAGTGTTTGACTAGGAAAAGCAGGCAACCATATCTTTCACAGCCTAAGATGAAATGCACAATAACTGAAAAGTAACTATAGAGAACAAATGTGGGAACTGCAGCCCTCCAGGAGATCTTCACAAGGATTTAAGTAACTCAAAAGAATAAATTAACTATTTTGTGGGTTAGCCAAATTTAAGCTTCTTTTCATAACTAATCTTCCAAAAAACATTTTATAAACAAAAACTACTTGATGCCCCCAAACCTAATTTTAATATTAGTATGTTCAATAATTTGACATTTATATATTTTACTACTTCCTACCCACTCTGAAATCACTCAACAGTCTTCATCTAAAAAACTTACCATGAATATGCATGTACTTACAAAACAATATAAAGAACGTTTAGATTTGGCATAATTTTGTGCTACTGAATAGATTAACTTCAACTCTGAATGCCTGCAGAAATATGCCATGATCTTACCTCTCATCCTCGCCATCCACAAAGGGTGTTGTCAGCGGTAGCACCTTCAACGGGAAAAGAGAAGCAGAGGCTGCTAGGCTGCTGCTACTCCCATCTGAAACTGCTGACATTCCCCCACTGTCACCACTGGTAGTCTGAGGTAAGCCAACTAAGGACGGCTCCACTGGGCGCCTGGCATCTTCAATTTGGCTTCCAATTGCCTGAGCTAATGATTGTGCAGAGAACTGAGCAGAACTTAGTGGTAACTGTTGTGTCAATGGCAAATTTATATTAGTTGCTACCAAGGGAGGTTGACTAACACTTTGAATCAAATTACCATTTTGAGTGGCAGGGGGTTGTGCTATATTCTGTGGTGGAACCAAGTTTGCTGGGGCAGAAGGCATTCCAGAAGGACCAGTTGAACTAACCTGGTTTGTAACAGGAATACTACTAGCAGAAGGTAAAGGACTAACTGTGGGCAACTGCTTCGAAACAACTTCTTGAACTACTGGTTCTACTCCTTGTGGCTGGGGAGGCACAGTTAACAAGGTACTCTGGGGTGCAATAACCAATTGTGGAGGAAGGCTTGAAGTGCTAGTTTGAACTCCCTGATGAATAATCCCAGTTTGAGCAGGTGGAACTACTTGTGAAGATGGAGGAGCACCTTGCTGAATAACTGAAGGTGTAGCTTGGGTAGAGGACTGCTGCACTGCAGTAGGTATGTTTGCTTGTTGACCAATAGTTGCAATTTGACCACCAATAGGTACAGCAGACATTGCTGTTTGAGCCTGGCCAACAGGCTGGCCAGATGTCCCTGCAGGTTGTGCTTGAATTGCTGTGGACTGCGTTGGCAGCTGGATCCCCCGTGGCTGAGCCACAGGAATCACTGCTGTCCCTGTTCCCACTCCTGCAGAACTGGACTGCCCAGAGGACATTGCTGTTTGCAGAAGTGACTGCTGTTGTACATACTCTGAAGTAGGATTCTGAGTCACTGATTGACCATGGCCTGGGGCCAACTGCGTAGAAACCATTGGTTGCTGTTGTCCATATTGTAACTGCTGGGGTGGTGCCCCTGGAAGGGGAGTTTGCACTGGAGGAGCTGTCTGTGAGTATGGCAGTTGGGTTTGAGCCAAACTGGAAATGGAAGGCTGCTGACCTAGAGCTGAAGTTACACCAACCACATTTATAGATGATGGCTGGATACCAGTTGCAGCATTGACAGTGGCTTGCAGAGGTACTGGCTGAAGACCTTGCTTTTGCTTATAGCCTAGTTCTTGAGATTGTAAATGTACTTGTGACATCTGTGACTGAGAAACACTCTGTGGTATACTAACTGCTGAAATACTCTGTGGACCACTGCTACTGAAATCCATTTGTTGAAGGGCCACCACACCTTGAAGGGCTGGTGGCTGCTGTACCACAGTAGGGACTCCCATCTCTCCACTTCCCACACTCTCTGTGTAGTGACTCAGTGTGCTGACACTACTGCTCACTGAACTCCCACTAGTGCTCTCCCTCTCAGAAGTCACTTCTGTCGGGTTTTGTTTTACAGTCTCCACCACTTTATTTGTCACACCTTCTGTAGCAGATACAGCATTTTCTTTTTCATAGAACTCAGTGCAAGTCCATCTACCTTTTTTAAAGGGTTCAGAAGTAGAATCTAACTTCACAACTCTGAACCTTGATGTGTTAACTGTTGGTTGTTGCTGCTGACTTGAAACCAATCCCACATTTGTCCCTGTAGTTGCATTAGGGACACTGTTAACAGCAGAGGAAGAAACAGTACCATTGCCCATACCACTCAAGATATTCACATTAACACTACTGGTAGCTCCAGGCCCAACACTTACAGTAGCAGCACTAGAAATATTGCTTGTACTTATGTTAGCATTACCAAGCATGCTGCTTGCCACGTTAGGACTGAAACTACCCACAGAAACAATGTTAACATTATTCACTGTACTAGTGCCAGTACCAGAATTTATACCTACACTGCCTGCAGTACCTGCAGCCCGGATATTAGTCATTACAGATGCAGGTGAGCCACTCAATGATACAGCAGAAGTTGGTGTCCCTGGCATAACACCCTCAGAGCTTCCAGATGTAGAAAGTTTTCTGGATATTGGGCTTGTAGGTGGCCCTCCAGGAACAGATGCACTGGCCACACCAGCATGGGATGGATGGTGGTGCCCATGGTGAAGGTGGTGCCCATGATGGATATGATGGTGATGATGCAGGTGGTGTGGATGAGCATTCCCATTGATCACAACATTCTGTTGTGGAAGGTGAGGCAAATGAGGTTGTGGAAGGTGAGGCTGGTTGGGAGAAACTGCCCCAGGCGTCTCTGCTTCCTGGAAGTTATTCAGAGTCTCTTCGGAGGAGCTGCGCTCAGGTTCCCCCAAGTCAGTAGCCCTGGAAAGTGACACATCAAGGATCTCGGAAGAAGAGAGATCTTCTGTGTGAGATTCATCCAGATCATCATAGCTCTCAGTGTCCTCTGCTATACTGTTGTTAGAGCTGATACTGGCAGAGATCTGAGCCGGAGTAACGCTAGTTATCTGGAAGCCACTTTTCTTTTTCATCTGAGTTCCGCCTGGTGCAAGGGGCTGTGCCTGCAGCTGAGCCTGCGAAAGGAGGTTCAGGCTTTGTGGAGGAGGAGGCTGTGGTACGGATGTGGAAGATGCTGCAGGAGACGCTGGCTGGAGCAGAGACGCAGGCGGAAAATCTTCAGAAGATGTGGCAGTAGGACCAACACCGGTACCTGCTGCACTGAGAGCAGAGGCGCTGCCACTACCGCTGCCCCTTCGAGGGAACATAGTCGGGTGCGCCATCTTCCTAGCACTAACGTCTGCAGCGGCGGCAGACGCCGCCGCGGCGTTGGACTCAGGCGGCTGGTGCATTGTGTTGGGTACCGGGAGGCGGAGGAGGCGAGTGCAGTTTCCTTCTGCACCGTAATCTTTGTATTCAGGACGCAGGAGAGGAAAACTGGACCTGACGCTCCGCCCGGCGCGAGTCCTCCTCCTTCTCAGCCTAAGGCGCCGGCTGCTGCTGCCTTCGAGGGCGAGCTTCGGAAAGGGAGGATGAACGAGGGTGAATAGGGCGGCCGGGGACCAGAACGGGGGACCCCTTCAGTCCTCCGCCATTCACTTTCCCCGCTAGTCTCACACACACACACACCCCCCCCTTTATATTCCGCTTCACGTGGGGTGCGGGGCAGAAGGGGGGGGAATGGGAGGGGGGAAGGGAGGGCAGGGGAGGAAAAGCGAGAAATGCCCACCTTCTCTGGCCAACTCCGGGGCCACCTTAGACCCCTCCTCCCGCCGCGGCGGCGGCCGCTGCAAAGCCCTCCCGGTCGCTCTGCACGGAGGCAGCGCGGAGCGAGCTTCGCCGTGCTCTCGCCACCCCCGGCTTCGGCCGCCGGCGAGCCCGAGCTCAGTGTCGCTCAAACCTCCCCCGCTGGGCCCTCCCCCCGCGCCCCGCGGACCCTCTCAAACCCCCTGGGCTCGCGGCGGCTGCTCCGGGAGGAAACGCTGGCCGCGGCTGGGGCCGGGGCGGCGCGGCGGCGGCGGGGCGCCCGGTACGGAGAACCCAGCAACGAGGCGCGGGCGGGAGCGCAGAGACGCCGGGTCCTCGCGGAGCACGGCAGGGGCGCGGCGGCGGCAGTGGCAGCGGGAGCCCAGGGACCGCTCCATCACTGGCAGCCATGGAGCCCGAGCATTTTCCTCCCTCGGGGCAGGCGCTCGGCTCGGCACGCGTCCTCGGGGAGGAAGGGCCGGCGGCCGAGCCTCCCCGGAGGGCGGCGGGACGTGCGCGGGAGCCGAGGCTGCGAGCCTCTCCCGACCTCTTCCTCCGCGGCCGGCTCGTCTTCACCCCGCAGCTAGGGGGCTAAAAGCGGCGGCGGCAGCTCCTTTCTCGGCCGCGTTGGTGGCCAGACGGGATGGTGCAGCGACTGCAGCCGACGCCGTTCAAAGGAACGAGAGGTGGGGTTGGTCGGTGTCGGCAAACGGGGCGGGGGAGTGGGTGGGTACCGAGGGAGGGCGTCGGGCGAAGGGGGGGCTGTAGTGGTTGTTACTAGTGCTCTTCTCCGGCTCCACCGTGTCCCCCAGTCTCTCGCGGCATCGGGAGAGGAGGGACCAGCGCCCGAGCGCAGGAGGAGGAGGGGCGACCGCCGGGGAGAGGAGGCGGCAGCGGCAGCAGGGGGAGGGGACAGGCCGAGGAAAAGAGGGAAGATGGCGTCTGCGCATGCGCCCCGGAGCCGCAGACAGAAAGCCGGGTCCGGCGAGGAAGGAGTCGGCGGGTGTTCGGACCTTGCCGAGTGCTGGCTCTCCGGACGGAAATTGCCGAAGGCTAGCGGAGGCGCCGAAGCCTGGGGCAATGGGGGTGGGGAATCTAGCTGAGGGAGCGAATCCGGGTCGTGCTGAAAGACACTGCCTGATGGGGGCGGGGCAGGGTGCGGGGCCGCGGCCGCGCGCAGGTTAGGTGTGTCCGCTTTTTTCTCACGCGCGGCCGGCGCGCGGGCGCGCGGGCTCGCGGCCTGGGGATGGGGCGCGGAGGGAGGGGCCAGCTGAGGCTGCCAGAGCGCCGGGTTTGAGTTGTGCGCGCCCTGGGTGGCGTCCCCCGCCTGCGGAATGGATGATGAGGCTTTTCTCCGCAGCAACAGCATCACGAGTTTCAGTTCCCAGGAGCTCGCCGCCGCTGCCACATGAGTCAGGCTTTCTTCCACGACGCGTGGCGGAGCCCTGCGCCCCTGCGCCGCACCTGGGCTCGCCCGGGGCCCGAGCTGCCCTCGCCCACCTCGCCCCTTCCGGCGGTGTCCCATTGCCCGAAGCCGCGTGCGGGACCGCAGGGGCCAGTGGCCGCCCGCGATAAGGGTCGCCTTTTGTGTACTTGCAGTTGGGGCTGCCATGCGGTCCCCTCGCCCAACGAGGACCTGGGGTGAGGCTGTCAGGGCGACCATCATGTAAGCTCCTTCGGGGTAGGACGTGCTCTAAAAGGGAGTGGGTGCAACCCATCCTTACCTGGAGGGAGAAAGCAGGCCAGCCGGGTGAACCAGCTGACCTCAACAGGTGGAGCTTAGGCCCAGCAGCGACGCCGCAGTTGTCTAAGCTGTGGCCATTAGGTTTGACTGAAGAGGCAAGGGTGGCCTGGAAATGATCGCACTACAAGTGAGGTGATGAATGGAGAGTGCCTTTTAGGGTTAGAAATAAAAAAGGACCATCTGAAATTCCAGTTTGAAACAAAAGCACTACATTTTATGGTTCTGAGCGTAGTTCTACAAAAGCAGTGTTAGGTTTGTTTGGAAGCAATTTACTGGAAGTTGCTTGCCTGACTTTACATGTCAAAACCTACCTTTCAGCATTCCCTTGCTACTCACTGCAAAAATACTTCCCAGCCAGGAATTTTTTTTAAAAAAAGCTTAAAAACCAGAGAAAATTTATTTTTTTAAATTTAAGTTTGTTGGAATCTGAATTTCAGAAGTTCTCCCCTTCTCTCCCCTCTTCCTTTTTTCACCAAAACATCTAGGACCCTCAATACATGAAAAGTACTGACTATTTATAGGTAGACTTCTGATGCAGGAAATCTCCAATCCTATTTGAGGAAGTTGTTAAATTGTAGAATTTTAATAGATTTCTAATTGGCTGTTCAACTTTTGGTTTTCTGAGTTTTTCCCCTCATTCCATCCCTCAAAAAGGTAAGACTGTCACTGTTCACTTAACTATTAAATAGAAATACACCCTTGACATCCTTGTCTATCCTATTTCAAAACTGATACGTTTTGCTTTGTAGTGTCCCCCCACGAGAACTAAAGATAAGACCTTTTTTTTTTACTTTAAATTGCTAATGTGGAGCTCAGCTAAGTGTAAAGTATGCACTCACAAATATTGAAAGTGATATGGTTGTAAAAAAATCAAGATGTGAAAAGACTACTTGTTTTATGGTATTAACTTGTTAATATGAGAATAAAAAATAATCGTTTTTTAAATCCTCTGGCTTTTGTTGCAAGTGATATACTTGGTTAATGACTATTATCCATTGTTGAAATGCAAATCTGACTTGCTTTATCAACAGTTTCCTAACTGATTGAAACTGCAATGGAATGTAGACTGGCAAAACGCTGGTTCTTTGAACTATCCTGTGAAAGAAAATGCTCTTGATCTCTCAAAATATTACCTTAGGTTGAAGTTTTAAATTATCCCGAACAACTGTTTTCCAGCCCTTGGGCTCCCTAAGTACTTGCTATGATTGTGCTGATATGGTTGAAGAACCGAATAAATATATTGAGGTCTTAGCCAAAGTTAACAGAATGAAATTGTTGCTGAGCTAACCCTGTAAGAAGCAGATATTGTACTTATTCCCGTAACCAATTATTTGGTTGTTTTGATGGTAGAGCTCCCTGAGGGGTTAATCCTTTTAAAAGAAAGTTTAAAGAAAAAACCTTAATGAATAACAAAGAATTTTTAAATGGTCTTATCAAGTGTATTTAATTCTGGTCTGCTGTCACATTCAAGCTCCTGTTTAGACTTGGTCAAATGCTGCTAAGCAACAACTTTGGCCAGGCATGGTGGTGCATGCCTGTAATCCCAGCACTCTGGGAGGCTGAGGCAGGAGGATCACAAGTTCCAGCCCAGACTGAGCAGTTTACAAAGGCCCTGTCTCAAAATAGAAAAAGGGCTAGGAATGTAAAGTGCAAAGACCCTGGGATCAATCCCCAGAATGCCACCCCCCAGAAAAAAACACACCCTGTAATTAGAGAAATCTGAATTTCAGAAGTTTGTCTCTCCCTCTCCCCTCTTTCTTTAATCATGAAAAATGTCTTTGACCTTTAATACATGAACATAAATGCAGTCATCCCTCAGTATTTGTGAGGATCCCCCTCAGATACAAAAAAATCTAAGGATATTCAAGTAAGTCCCTAATATAAAATGGTGCAGGATTTGCATATAATATACATCCTTTCATATACTTTAAATCATCTCCATTACTTATAACACTGAGTATATTGTGAATGCTACATAAATGCTGGTGTGGTTTGAGGACCAATGACAACAAAAGCTTATACATGTTTAATACTGACTCATTTTATCCCAAATATTTTTGATTCTCAGTTGAATCTAGAGAACTGGAACACACAAATATGAGGGCCTTACTGTACATTGAAGCAATGAGAAACATCTGAATACTTGTGTTTTATTCTGTTATTACCTTTTTTTGATAAATCCCATTGCTTTTTCCCATACCCTCCTTCCCTCCCTATACAAAAGCTTTGTTTCCATTTTTTCCTTCTATTTTCACTTTTTTTTCTTGTCTCTTCCTTTTAATAAAAAATCTGGATTTTTATATAAATATTAAATTTTAAATTAATATTAAATGCCTGCTACTACATGTATAAAGTCATTAAATTCTTTGAACCAAGTGCTATATACTTAGAGCTATCCCTTGCTGCGTTTTTTTGTTTTTGTTTTTGTTTTTTGGGGGGGTTTTGAGACAGGGTCTCACTATGTAGTTCAGATTGGCCTTGAACCCACCATATAGCCCAGGCTGGCCTCAAACTCATGGCAATCTCCCTGTCTCAACCTTGTCCCTTGCTTCCCCCCAACCCCCATACGGGGGATTGAACTCAGGACCTTGCACTTGTGAGGCAAGCACGACTCCACTGAGCTAAATTCCCAGCCCTTCCTTGCCTTTTGACTGACGTGATTTCAATCATTTTCATGCCGAAACTGTACTGCTCAATTAATTTTTCTGTTCACTCAAAGATTTGCCTGTATTTCGCTTAAATCATCCAGTTATTGCAAACCAGCCTGCATATTTGGCTATGTTTAATGTTTATTCTACCATAAAATGTAAAATTTACTATTATAACAGAATGTACCTATTTGTAAGAACTCCAAAATGTAGCCAAGGATTTAGCTCTGTGGTGCAGTGCCTGCCTAGCAAGCACAAGGTCCTCAGTTCGATCCCCGGTATGGAAAAAAAAACCCTCCAAATGGCTCAATACTTTAAAAACAAGTGATTCTCCTGGTGTAATACTCTTGAAGAACAGTAAAGAAGCCAGGCATGGTAGCTAGCTCGGGCCTGTATTCCCAGCACTTGGGAGGCCGAGGCGAGAGGATCCGGGTGAATTTGAGACCAGCCTGAAATACAGAGCAGGATCAAATACACTGAGAGCTCTTGAGTGACAGATAGATATTAAAGAGAAAAGTATGCAGAAAATATGCCAGCACTTCATTTCAGTAATTATTCTGGCTACATATGTGACTTTTGAATGTCATTTGCAAGAAAAAAAATCAAATGCTTAAATATGTTAAAAACATGAAAAAAATCACATTTTTACATTGGAAGAAATGTATGCAGGAGGATATTGAAGCATATTATTAATCAATTATTTTTTTATTAATCAATTATTAATCATACATTTTCTAGACAAGGAGTGTGCTATATGACTTGAAAATTTCACAAGATATTTATATTGATACTTTTATTCAAATTTTAGTGAATAGTTTAACTTAT